CCGCTGCTAGACCCGCCCGACTGCATCCACGCTCCACGCGCCGCACCTCCTTCCCGCCTCACGCTTGCCGCTGCTAGACCCGCCCGCCTGCATCCACGATCCACATACCACACCTCCTCCCTGCCTCACACTCACCGCCTACATCCATGATCGGCACATGGACGCGGGGAGAAGAAGAAGTAAGAAGGGGCAGGCGTGGGGGGATGACAGCCGCCGACAGACAGGCCCGATCTCAGAAGCAAGTTGCTGGAAGACTGCTCAGGTAAGCCTGCACTTCCCTCCCCCCACATGGTGCTCTATAATGTATTGCTGGGATTTGTATTCCTCTATAGGTGATGGTACATTGTGCTGTATATTATACATGGGAATATAAATCCCATGTGGGATTTGTTGTACTCCTCCTATAGCTGGAGGTATTCTGCATTGCGCTGTATAGAGGACTACAAATCCCAGCAATAATATATTATACAGCTCAATGCAGAATACCATCAGCTATGGAGGACTACAACAAATTTCAGCAATAGTACGTTATACAGCACAATGCAGAATACCGCCAGCTATAATGTACTATTGCTTGAGGTATTCTGCATTGCGCTGTGTAATGTACTGTTGCTGGGATTTGTAGTCTTCTATAGCCGGTGCCCTTCTGCCTTGATTGCTGTATAATTTTACACTTTCTATTTCACTATATTGCACACCACCCTTTTTTTTTTTTTCTTCCACCGCTCCAAGCTTGCTCCTGTGATGGACTATAATCTCAATATAAACTAGTAGTCCATCACTGGAGCCATTTTAAAAAAATCCAGATTAACCGGTTAATTGAACTTAATAATCGGCTAATCGATTTTGAAAATAATCGTTAGCTGCAGATCTAGATAAATGGTCACCCTACACCAGGGATCCCCCACTAACCACCAGGGAGCCCCCACTGGCCACAGTGGAGCGCCCACTACCCACCTGGGAGCTACCACAGAGCCACCACTGATTATTAGGGAGTCCCCACAGATCCTGACAGTCCGCATTGGCCACCTGAGAGCCTAATTGGGGAGCCGTCTCTGCTGCACCCACGCCCACCGTGAAACTCTCTGGACCCCTGGTGAGAGCCCGCACAACCCTCCTGAGACCCTGGAGACATCAGGCAGAGAACCCAGAGCAACAGATTATGTAGCTTCATATTATTCTGCATTGCTGTAATATGTATTGCTGAGATTTGTAGTTCTCCATAGCTGATGCAGTTCTGCATTGCTGTATAATGGTATTGCTAGGAATTGTAGTTCTCTATAGCTGTTGGTAGTCATTATTGCTGGGATTTATAGTCCTCTATAGCTGATGGTATTCTGCATTGTTGTGTAATGTATTGCTTGGAATTGTAGTTCTCTATAGCCAATAATGCTGTACAATTTATTTCTGAGATTTATAGTCCTGTACAGCTAGTGGTATTATTCTACATTGCTGTATAATGTGTTGCTGAGATTTGTAGTCCCTCTACAGCTTGGAGTTAATGGCAGAACTACCAGGGTCACAGCAGTCGTACACGCGCACAGCACTGACGAGGCATCCGTCCACTACCAGTGTGCTATAATTTTCCTCAACCCAT